TATCTTCTGGCCTTGGTGAGTTATAAGCTTCCTAAGGGCCAAGATTGCATGTTAAATAATAATTACTTTATTTACCACTAGCACCTCTTGTGTATGTTCGTTTGTCTTTGCCAGCCGTGGGGCTTGAAAATCAGGGCCTGGGTACTGTCCCTGAGTATTTTTTGCTCATTTTACCACTTAAGCCACAGCTCCACTTCAACTTTTTGGTGATTAATTGGAGATAAAAATCTTATGGAAACGGAGGCTGGCGGCTCATATCTGTAATCCTAGTTACTCAGGAGATTGAGACTGAGAATCCTCAGTATGGACAGGAAAGTCTGTCAGACTCTTTTTTTTGGGGGGGGGGATCCGGTTGTGGGGCCTGAACTCTGGGCTTGGGTGCTGTCCCTCAGCTCTTCAGCTCAAGGCTAGCACTCTACCACTTGAGCCACAGCGCCACTTCCGGCTTTTTTTTTCTTTTTGCTTATGTGGTGCTGAGGAATCGAACCCAGGGCCTCTTGCATGCAAGGCAAGTGCTCTACCACTGAGCCACCTTTCCAGCCCTGTCTTTCAGACTCTTATCTCCAATTAACCACCAAAAAGCTAGAAGTGGAGCTGTGGCTCAAAGTGGAGCACTAGCCTTGAGCAAGAAACAGCTCACAGATAATGCTAGTTCAAGCCCCAAGACAAAACAAACCAAGTGTCTTACTGACTTACCTGCAAGTCCTGCCTGGGCTGACTTTGAATATCAGGATCCTCAGCCTCCTGAGTAGCTAGAATTACATGTATGGGTTACCAGTACCTGACTTTTTGATAGCTGATCAGTAAATAATTGTTGAAACTTCACATAAGGGAGAAAATAACCCTACTCTTTCTCCCCTTCCAACATTTTACTAGGGTCATTAAATAAACTGAAAGTGACACTGACCAATCACAAGAGTTTATAATTCAGTCATTGAAACAAAAGTAACCCCATTTTTTATTTGATTATTTTGATATTAAGTTAAAAGATCTTCTAGATCTTACAGTCTTGCTACTCTAAATGTAGTGGGCATATAATATTAACAAATTTGTTTTCTCTTTTTGTGGAACTGGGTATTAGCTCCATGGCCTACGTATGCTTAGGCAATCAATTTACCACTGGTTCAGGTCTCCAGCCTAAAATTTCTTTTTTTTGTCGGTTGTGGGGCTTGAACCTAGGGCCTGGGCACTGTCCCTGAGTCTCTTTGTGCTCAAGGCTAGTGCTCTTCCACTTGCGCCACGGTGCCAATATCTGGCTTTTTCTATTTATAAGGTACTGAGGAATCAGAGTTTCAGAGTTTCATGCATGCTAGGCAAGCACTCTACTACTAAACCACATTCCCAGCCCCAACCTTGAATTTCTTGATGTACTAATCAAAACTCCACAGTAGTCCCTGTATACAAAGTCATAACCAGCTGAGAAAACTAAGTAAAAAAATTTTCTTAAACTAGCCATGATCCTCATCCTTTAAAAAATAAACAGTCAGGCTCCTAGATAATAGAAGGGGAAGGGACTTTCCCCCTCCTTAGTCAATTAGAGCGAATCAGATATAATCATGATTGTGTCAAAAGTTCAAAAGGGAAAATGGAAGGTAAAATGAGCTGAATTGGCAGTCTTCCCTCAACATTGTACCTGTAAGCTTGATATGTTGTTTCAGAGATTAACTTTATAGACTTCCGTACCCAGAAGTATGAAAATTCTTAGGGACCTCTTTTCACAAGCTTGATCTTAACATACTGAATAAAGAGAGCAGTTAATCCCTTTTGTAAAGTAATTTGAGAGGAGGGAATTCAAAATGTAAAATCTCACCTGCAGAAAATACTCAACTCTGTAAAGGCCTTTCTATCTTTAGACACTTACAAAGACTTAATATTTTAATGCGGAAGGGTGAACTTGGTTAAAAAGCCAATGGATGAAATTAGAGAGAAATAATCCAGTACTTTCTTTCTGGGAATTATCATCCCGCTCTCCAGGGGACCTAATTTTATTCCTGTGAGGAATGAGAATACTTTTCTGTATAGCAAGCCAGCACCTCTTAAATACAAGCTTGACTTTTAGTATAATAAGAGTCTTGTTAGGTGCAATTTTGCTCTTAGTCATTTATACAATGAACAAATGTTGTGGTTACCTGGGAAAGAAAATTCAAGTGCTTTTAAAACTCTTGTGAGATTTGGTTTCATGCTTGAAACCTATACACTGTTAATGCCCAGTAGCATCTATAGAGGATCCCCAGCTCTAAGGTGCACAACATAGAGAGAAGTTAATACACTTTGGACAAAATTGACACCACTACAAAATGGATTTAAGGTCCTGAATGAGAGCTTTTCTTTTGCTGAATGACAACTATTTACTAGTGGCTTTAAGTTTTAACAAGTGAATAGAATTTTCATAGTGAAGTTTACAAGATGATGATGTCCTACTCTGTAAAGTAAGCAGGTACTGTTTTCTTTTAGGTGAAATTTAAATTTTTTCTTTTCAGCTGTATGATACTTACCAGTTTGACAAATGCAAAGACTACGTTTTAAGAATAAAGCATAATTTTAAAAAAATATATAGTATTATAGAGCATTTTTGGCACGGTATAGAATTTATTGGTTTTCTCTCCTGTAAGCTTTGTGCTAAATTCTTTTCTTTGTTTTTTTTTTTTTCCCCCCTGAGGTAAATCTCATTGTGCCACACTAGCCCAGACTGGCCTCTAACTCAGTCTTCCTGCCTCAGCTTCCAAGTGTTAGGATTGATTAAAAGGCATTGTACCACCATGGTACATTGTATGCATGTTAAATATCTATTCCTGAGCTAGGTGCCAGCCTTAATCCTAACTATTCTGGAAGTTGAGTCCTGGAAGACTGTGGTTTGAAGTCAGTCCAGGAAAAAAAAGTCTTCAAGACTTCATCATTCAAGGTGTAAGCAAGAAAGCTGTTACATTGGAGGGAAGGAGAGGGAGGAAAGATAATTCTATTATTAATAACACAATAATCTGTGATCATAAATCATTTTATTGGGCTTGATAGCACTTTTTTTTTTTTTTCTGTGCTAGTGATTTTTTTCTTCACAACAAGAAAGATAATAGAAATCTTTCTTGTTGCTTTGGGTCTGAATTGTGTTGGTTGGTTTGTAGAGGCCAGTGCTAGGGATCAGACTCAGGACTGTGTGCCTTTCAGGCAAGCACTCTAAACTGCCATACCCCTAGACTCCAGGCCACTCGTGTTATTTTTTCCCCCAATAAGTTTAAAAGTTGTTAGAATGACAATAAGTAGCTTTTAAAATCTTGTAAAGAGCAAAGTGTTTAATTTTTTTTCTTACATTGTGACTAACTTCAAAATACTAGACATTATATTTTGGGGTTCGTAAACATACTCTTTTGATTATAAACCTCTGATCTAGGAGCTGTTCTAATGAACCTAAGAACATACTGTATTATACCATCAAGTTATACCTCTAGCCCCTGGTTGCCTTATTACTTTTTTTTTTCTTTTTTTAGAATCTTATGTTTCTTAATTTCTTAATTATGTTTCTTAATTTCTTACTGTTGATAAGAGTACAGATATTGCAACACTAAGCTAGGCACTGGTGGCTCATACCTGTGAGCTGAGATCTGCTAGGCTGAAATCTGAGAATCATGGGTCAAAGCCAGCCAAAGCAGACAAATTTCTGAGAATCTTAGCTCCAATCATCCAGCAAAAAGCTGGAAATAGAAGTGTGGATCAAGTAGTAGAGGACCAGCCTTGAGAGGAAAAAGCTAAGGAAGAGTAGCCTTGAGAGGAAAAAGCTAAGGAAGAGTGCGAGAAATGGCAACACCTCTCTTCCCCCCTACCCTCTTTGCATTAAGAAGAATGCTTTTTCAGTCATGGTATTAAGGGAGGGAAAAAACTCAGAAGTATATAGTAGAAAAGTAGTTAACCAGAGGCCAAGGGGAAGGATGTTGGTCACAAAGTTAGTTAGATGAGAGGAATAGTTCTGCAGAGGAACTATAGTTAATACATATTTCACAGAATAGCTAATAGAGGATTTATAAAATGCTCTCATGACACAAAAGGTAAATATTTGATATGATAAATACGTTAATTTTTTTGATCCCTACATCCCACAGTGTATTGAAATAGCATTTTGAGAAGCCGGTGTGGTGGCATATACCTAAAATCCCAGCACCCAGGAAACTAAATCAAGAAGATCACAAGTCAAAGCCAGCCTTGGCTACATATATTAGAGACCCTGTCTCACTAAAAATGTAGCTGAGGTCTGTTTACCATATTAGGACTGACTGTCTGCTGAAGAATTAGCTAAGCCAAATAACAGTCAGAGCCTATTCTGTTCTTCAGTTGTCATTTTTACCAAAATAAAATTATGGCCTGGATTTATGTGTGTAAATAACCTCAGGCAAAATGAAAAAAAAAATTGCCAGTCCTGGGGCTGGCAATTTAAAAGTAAATATAGGTTAAAAGTGTGTTCTTTTGTTTATTTCAGGCAGGGTTTTACTGTATAGCCCTGCTGACCTTATCTCCTACCTCAGCCTCCCCTAAGTATTGGGATTTACAGGTATACACCAACATACCAACACACCAGCTGCAAAGATACATTTAAAAGTTATATTCTACTGAGCACGGGTGACTCATGTCTGTAATTCCAGCTATTTAGGAGGCTGAAATCTGAGGATTGAGGTTCAAAGCTATCCCAAGCAAGAAAGTCCATGAGACTCTTATCTCTAATTAACCACCAAAAAACCACAAGTGGTACATACAGCACTTGCCTTGAGCTGAAGAGCTCAAGGACAGCATCCAGGCCCAGAGTTCAAGGCCTACAACCAACTGACCAAAAAAAAAAAAAAAAAGTTGTATTCTAGTGTAAGTAACCTACTTCTTAATAACTAGCTGAGTTTTGTTTCAGGTAAAATGCTTACGGCTTGTTTATTATCAATTTAACAAAGGTAGACTCCACATATTCCTCTCCCCTTTTCTAAAGTCAATATGCTTCAATTTAGAAGTGACTTTTTTGTTTTCAGACAAATCTTCCTATTTTCAAACTGAAGGAATCTACTGTTAGAAGAAGATACAGTGATTTTGAATGGCTACGAAGTGAATTAGAGAGAGAAAGCAAGGTAAGAATTTTTAATAATGCAACTTAAAGCTCTAAGCAGGCACTAATCTACTTTCTCTATGGACTTGTCTATACGCATAAATGATATAAGTAGAAGCACAAAATGTGATCATTTGTGTCTGGCTTCTTTGACTTTGCATGCTTTCAAGATTTTTCCTGCTGTTGGGCTGGGAAGGTGGCTTAGTGGTAGAGTGCTTGCCTTGCATGCATGAGGCCCTGGGTTCGATTCCACAGCACCACATAAGCAGAAAAAGCCGGAAGTGGGGCTGAGGCTCAAGTGGTAGAGCGCTAGACTTGAGCTGAAGAGCTGATGGACAGCGCCCAGGCCCAGAGTTCAGGCCTCACTACTGAAAAAAAAAAAAAAAAAAAAAAAGATTTTTCCTTCTGTAATATATATCAGTACTTGATTTCTTTCTTTTTATTTATTTATTTTTTTGGTCAGTTGTGGGGCTTGAACTCTGGGCGTTGTTGTCCCTGAACTCTTCAGCTCAAGATGAGTGTTCTACCACTTGAGTCCCAGTGCCACTTCCAGTTTTCTGGTGGTTAATTGGAGATAAGAGTCTCACAGACTTTCCTCTCTAGGCTGGCTTTGAACCACAATCCTCAGATCTCAGCCTCCTGAGTAGCTAGGATTACAGGTGTGAGCCACCAGCACCTAGCAAGTTTTTTTTGGTTTTGTTTTGTTTTCTGAGCATATGGTTCTTTTTTTTTTCTTTTTTTCTTTTCTTTTCTTTTTTTTTTTTGTGGGGGGAAGGGGCGTGGGGCTTGAACTCTAAGCCTGGGCGCTGTCCCTCAGCTCTTCAGCTCAAGGCTAGCACTCTACCTCTTGAGCCACAGCACCATTTCTGGTTTCCTGGTGGTTTATTAGAGATAAGAGTCTCACAGACTTTCATGCCTGGGCTTTGAACCTCAATCCTCAGATTTCAGCCTCCTGAGTAGCTAGGATTACAGGCATGCCTGCCCCAGTTTTGTTTTGTTTTGTTTTGTTTTCTTTCTTTTTCTTCCTCCCTCCCTCCCTCCCTCCCTCCCTCCCTCCCTCCCTCCCTCCCTCCCTTCCTTCCTTCCTTCCTTCCTTCCTTCCCTCCCTCCCTCTCTTTCCTTTTTTTTTTTTTTTTTTGAGTATATAAGGATTTTGTTGCTCTGGCATATAACTTTTGTTATTGTTGTTTGTTTTACGGTTGTTGTGTTTCCTGGCAGCATCTTACCATGTATCTCAAACTGTCCTTGAACTCACTGTGCTTCATACTGGCATCAAACTTCTGTACTCAACTGATTCTCCCTACCTCATCCTAAGTAATGGAAATTATAGGCATCTGCCACTGAACCCTGTATATTTGTACCATTTCACAATCTCACCAGTAGTATATGAGGGTTCTATTTCTCTTCACATCCTCCTTATTGTTTATTATTCCTAGTGCTTTAAGAAGTTTTACATTGTGATTTCGATTTTGATTTGTCTGATTGCTAGTATTATTGATCATGCTTTTATATACTTGACATTTTTTAATCTTTCCATAAATGTTTACTGAGATCTTTTGTTTGTTTAAAAATTCTTTCTTTCTTTTTTTTTTTTTTTTTGCTTGAACTCAAGGCCTGGGCACTGTCCCTGAGCTGCTTTTGCTCAAGGCTAGCATTCTACCACTTGAGCCACAGCACCACTTCTGGCTTTTTCTGTTTATGTGTAGTACTAAGGAATGGAACCCAGTGCTTCATGCATGCTAGGCAAGCACTCTGCCACTAAGCCACATTCCCAGATTGTTGTCTTTTATTACAGAATTCCATCTAGATGTTAAAAATTAAAGACAAGATTATCTGATATAGTGGCTGCTGGTGGCTCATGCCTATAATCCTACCTACTCAGGAGGCTGAGATCTGAGAGTTACAATTCAAAGCCAGCCCCAATAAGTCCATAAGAGTCTTTATGATTAGTTCTAGCTTTAGTATTCACCCAGTATTACCCTATTTGTCATCACACATGCGTACATACACATCCCTGGATTCATGATTTTTAAACTGATGTAGGAGTTCTAACTAGACCATTCCAGGCTGCTGAAGCAAAATAATTTGATATTAAAGAGGATCAAAACATACTTGACCATAGGTTAAGCTTTCTTGTGTCTATCTGACCTGGCTTGAACACAGGGCCTTCCACACTCACCTAAGCTCACGGCTGGCGCTCTACCACTTAAGCCACAATTCCACTTGCAGCTTTTTGGTTGTTAATTAACAACCAAAGATTCCCATAGACTTTTCTGCCTGGGCTGGCTTTGGATTGCGATCCTCAGATGTCAGCCTCCTGAGTAGGTAGGATTACAGATATGAGCCACCCATGCTAGGTCTACGTAAAGCTTTGAATGGGAACTTTGAAGATCTTCTGATAGCATGGGATGGAAAAATAATGATGTCTTTGGGGAAAGATAAGAATAGAGGATTTGAGAGAAAGTTGACATGTTTCTTAGCTTAATAAATAGAAGAGAGACAACTAATTATTTGTTGTCACCTCAAACACAAGTTGGAGACATAGGTAGATGGTAAGATATTAAAAGAGATATCTAACCATGCTGCAAAGAACATTCCTAACATTTTATTTCTTTGAGGCTTGATTTTGGAGTCTGTGGTTTCCAGTGCAAGAAGGCATTTTTTTTTTCTGGAGTAGCAACAGAAGTGTATGAAAGATGTAGATACTTTTAATTTCAGTTGTCTTTGTATACTATAACTTTGATAAGTCCATGAGAAACACTATCTCCAAGGAAAACTGTAGTCCTCACCTTTGAGGAACTCTGGTCCCATGGGCTTTTCTGCTTTATCTTACCTCCAAAACATTTGAGTCTTTGCACTGTTTTTTCCCAGTCCTCTTTATGTTTGATCGCTCTCCTAGTGAGTTTATACTTGGTCTTTGTGTTGAGCTTTATACAATTTCACAACCCAGTCAAGCATAGTCACAAACTTCATTTTTTGGTGTTGTTTTAGGTTGTAGTTCCCCCGCTCCCCGGGAAAGCATTTTTGCGTCAACTTCCTTTTAGAGGAGATGATGGAATATTTGATGACAATTTTATTGAGGAAAGGAAGCAAGGACTGGAGCAATTTATTAACAAGTAAGTGCTTTCTAGTCTTCAAAAAGGTGAGATGAACAGTGTTTTGAGACATTAGGTGTCTAGTAGAAATTTAGATGTTTAGCTAAACTGCAGTATTACCTTGCCTTTCAGCCATTTTCTGCTGTTTTCTAACTTTCTAACAAAGTGTGAAAGTATTTAACAAGTTGAATACCATGTGATAAATATTAACACACTTGAGTGATTGAAATGAGTAGCTTCTTGTTGACCTAAGTTTTATATTGGTTTTTCTTGGCTAATTTATGCAAATTACACTTAAAATTACAGTATTTTAAAAAATAGTTTTACTTATGAGTTTCTGATTTAAGGTATGTTCTAGCAATAAAATGTACAATGCATTTGCAATCATTTCGTTTGATTGCAGTGGAGATACTATCAGCACATTTTATGTAAAGCTGTACTTTTTTGTCTTCATAGCAATTTTTTTTTTTAATGTAAGAAGGTCTATCAAGCCAGTATTTCTAGCTTTTAATTTTGGTTGCATTTGAGATTGCATTTTTGGTTTGGTTTGATTTGGTTTTGGTACTGGACTTTGGGGCTTGAAACTCAGGGTCTTGTGCACCATCCGTGAGCTGCTTTTGCTTACAGCTAGCACTCTACCACTTGAGCCACAGCTCCACTTCCAGGTTGTTTGTTTTGTTTTGTTTTGGTTGTTTAGTGGAAATAAGAATCTCACAGACTTCCTTGCTCATGTCAGCTTCGAACTCAGATCTCAGCCTCCCGAATAGCTAAAATTACAGGCTGGGATACTGTTTTGTTTTGTTTTTGTTTTTGTTTTTCATTTTCATTTAAATAAAATCTTTATTTTTCTGTGCTCCAGATGTATCCAAGGAGGGTTGCAATTTAATGTGTCCACCTAAGTGTCCAGTGCTTCTTGTCAGAGTCTCATCATTCTCCTCCATCCCAGTTGACCCCTCCCCCTAGACTCATTTCACAATTCCCATTTCCTTTATCAAATTAATTTTAATTCTTAAGAGACAGGGTTTTGCTGGTTGCCTAGACTGGCCCTGAACTGCTGGGTTAAAGGGATCCTCATTCCTCAGCTTCCTGAAGTAGCTGGGATTACATATGTGTGCCACTCTGTACCCAGCTCAAGTTGACTTATTTTCAAAAACTTACGTTAAGTAGTGTCATACTGTAATTATGTATTGGCCTTAAGATTTCACCAGGGAAATAAAATCCTTTGAAAATACAGTTATGTAAGCTTATATATTAATCATTAGTAATTTGAAAATCTTGAAGAGGTTATCAGAGTATACAACCTTCAGTTTACTTTTTTTGGGGGGGGGTGTCCAGTCGTGGGGCCTGGGCACTGTCCCTCAGCTCTTCAGCTCAAGGCTAGCGCTTTACCACTTGAGCCACAGTGCCACTTCCGGCTTTTTTCTTTTTGCTTATGTGGTGCTGAGGAATCGAACCCAGTCAGGCATGCAAGAGAAGCGCTCTACCACTGAGCCACCTTCCCAGCCCCACTTTTTTTTTTTAATGAACACTCTGACTTATGGAAGGCTTTAATGTTATACTAGGTGTTTGGTTGTTTTTTGTTTTTTTTTTGTTTTTTTTTTTGGTAGGTTGTGGGGCGTGAACTCAGGGCCTGGGTGCTGTCCCATAGCCTTTTTTTTTGGGGGGGGGGTCCGGTCGTGGGGCCTGAACTCTGGGCCTGGGTGCTGTCCCTCAGCTTTTCAGCTCAAGGCTAGCGCTCTACCACTAGAGCCACAGCGCCACTTCCGGTTTTTTTCTTTTTGCTTATGTGATGCTGAGGAATTGAACGCAGGGCCTCAGGCATGCAAGGCAAGCGCTCTACCACTGAGCCACCTTCCCAGCCCTCCCGTAGCCTTTTTGTGCTCAAGGCTAGTGCTCTACCACTTGAGCCACAGTGCCACTTCTGATTTTTGAGAGGTTAATTGGAGATAAGGGTCTCACTGGGACTTTTCTGCCCTGGCTAGCTTCGAACTGTGATCCTCAGATCTCAGCCTCCTGAGGATCTAGGATTACAAGCATGAGCCATAGGTTTCTGGCTTATACTAAATGTTTTTAACCTTCTGAAATAGAAGTCTGGCTGCACAGTGGTTTGCATTAGCCTATGATGGAAACCTTTTTTTTTTGGTCAGTTGTGGGGCTTGAACTCTGGGACTGGGCGCTGTCCCTCAGCTCTTCAGCTCAAGGCAAGTGCTCTACCACTTGAGCTACAGTGCCACTTCGGTTTTCTGGTGGTTTTTTGGAGATAGGAGTCTCACAGTCTCTCCTGCCCGGGCTGGCTTTGAACCGAGACCCTCAGATGTCAGCCTCCTGAGTAGCTAGGATTACAGGTGTGAGCCACCAGCGCCCGACTTATGATGGTAATCTTTAAAAAGTCAGCAAGAAAGGAGAAAACCTGGATATTTGCAAATGTGCTTCCTATATTTCTCACTCCCACATCTTTTGTTCTGTTTTGTTTTTGAGACAGGATCTTGTTATATGGGCCAAACACATAATACCATAGAGGGCTTGAATTCTATAGCTTTTTTTTTTTTTTTTGGTCAGTCGTGGGGCTTGAACTCTGGGCCTGAACACTGTCCCTCAGCTCTTCAGCTCAAGACGAGTGCTCAACCGCTTGAGCCACAGCACCACTTCCGGTTTTCTAGTGGTTTATTGGAGATAAGAGTATCATGGAGTTTCCTGCCTGGGCTGGCTTTGAACCGTGACCCTCAGATCTCAGCCTCCTGAGTAGCTAGGATTACAGGCATGAGCCACTGGTGCCTGTGAATTCTATATCTTTAAAATGGTTTCTTAGAATCTAGCAGCATATTGTTACTTTTAACCCTAAGGTTCATTTTAAGTGTCTTATGAATACACCAGCTATAGTTAAACTAATTGGATACAGATACCAGAAGCACTAAAAAATAACCTGGCATGAATTTTTTTTTTCCAGTACTGGGTGAAATGTTTTTTAAATCACTCTTATGAATCAAAAAGAGAAAAATCAAAAAAGAAAGGGAATATACCATTAATTGATAAAGTATAGTTTATGCAGTAGTCTTGAATGATTTTTAGTAAGTAATATATTCTTTTTTTTTGTATCATAATTCCTACCACCATCACCTTTATAAAATATTGGACTAAATTTTTATTTTTTATTCCCAGGGTCGCTGGTCATCCTCTGGCACAGAATGAACGATGTCTTCACATGTTTTTACAGGATGAAATAATAGATAAAAGCTATACTCCATCTAAAATAAGACACGCCTGAAATTTGGCAGGAAGAGGCAAAAAAAAAAAATCTGTGACCATTCATGATTTCATATGCACCAGTGAAGAAGTTCAAACTAACTTAGCATGCTGCACAGAACTGGTATAACATGCCTTCGGTATACTAACACTCATATGCTCAGTTTTATTTTGTTTTGTTTGGGCCGTTGACAAGAAGTTAATTTGCTTTAGTGAAAATCCCTCACTCTAGCCTTTCTCTATAAAAGGTCTTGCTGTCTTCCTGCGGTGCACACTGTAGCCTCACAAATCGTCCCAGTGTAATCTTTGGTGTCCTGACTAAAGTTGCTGACTTTGTCTTATTTGCCCAGATTTTGTGTCATGGTTGCTTCTTGAATCTGATTAACTCAAATATTTCTCTTTCCCCTCTCAATATGTAATGTCACTTGATCTGATTTATGTGTAGGAGCACTACACCCGCGTTTCCAGTGCCGCACATGTAAGATACACATTGTGTGCAGAACATATCTTCCTCCTGGCCTGTACTTCCCCTCACATGGAAGATTAAAGAGGGAAATCTTTATATTCTGTATAAAAACAAAATCAAATTTATATACTAAGATCATTTGTCTAAAAATTTAAGTTGTTTTCAAATAAAAATACAAATGCATTTCTGATATGCACTGATTGTGTTGCCTCCAGCTTTTCTTTTCCCCCTTGTGGCCTTACTGCTTAACTCACTAGTTGAGAAGGATTATTTACTAATTATATACTTCTCATTCCTGTAACTCCATTCCTTTTTAAACAGTGCTGATATCAAATATGCTACCACCTTTTGAATGAGGCATTTTCTTTTACACAACAAAAAAAGTGATGCACTGAAAAAGCATTCCTTTAAAGCTTATTGGATTGTTAGGAAGGACTTTGTGTGTTTGAGAAATGCTTTATAATCTTAAGTCATTCTTTAAAAGGCCTTTTAAGATAAGTCAATATCATGCCTCCTATTTCTCAAAAGAATTTTTCTCCTAGTCCATCTGAATGACTTTAAACTCAGCAAGGGTATAATAAGTCAGCAGATGCTTGCTTTCTCTTTAATTAGGCTTGGGCTAGTGGCACATTTTATCCTCTTTAAGGTAGAAGGGCATAGCGTTATAGTCTGACTTGTATAAAGGATAAGAGATCAGAAAATACACAATCCCTTGCTGCCTAATTTATATTGTGGCCAGGCCTTTGCATGTCTGGAATGTGGTTTCTAATTGGAGCTTGCCCAAACTCTGATGGTTTGGGACCCATTGTGACCTTTAGTTAAATCCCAAGATAAAGAAAGTTGTCCTCCCATCCCAGAGCCTTCTCTAGAGATGAGTCAGTGTTTGGAGGGTTGGTTAGTTTGGTTTGTGCTTTTCCTGGGGCTTGAACTCAGGGCCTATGCACTGTCCCTAAGCTTTTAGCACAAGGCTAGTGCCCTACCACTTGAGCCAAGCTCCATTTCCAGCTTTTTGGTGATGAATTGGAGATGAGTCTCACAGATTTTTCTTTTTCTTTTTTTTTTTTTTTTTTTTGGTCCGATCGTGGGGCCTGAACTCTGGGCCTGGGCACTGTCCCTCAGCTCTTCAGCTCAAGGCTAGCGCTCCACCATTGAGCCACAGCACCACTTCCGGCTTTTTTCTTTTTTCTTATGTGGTGCTGAGGAATCGAACCCAGGGCCTCAGGCATGCAAGGCAAGCGCTCTACTACTGAGCCAACTTCCCAGCCCTCTCACAGATTTTTCTATTCACGCTGGCTTCACACTGTGGTCCTCAGATCTCAGCCTCCTGAGAAGCTAGGATTACAGGCCTGCTTAGCCTGTTTGTTGATTTTTTTTTTTTAAAGACAGAAACTCACTGTATATCAAGCCTAACTGAAACTCAGGATTCTCTTGCCTCAGGTTTTCCAAGTGCTGAGATCAAAAGCATGAACCACCACACTGGCTAGAGTCAGTTCATTTGAGGTTTTGGTCAAATGATTTTCTCTTTGGTCCAAACAGAGGAAGTCAGAGCTGCTACGAAAGGCCATTATTCAAACAGTGTTTCGCAGTTTTATATACTGATTATTTCAGTAACTCTGAGAAGGTATAAAACAACTGGGTGTTGTGGCACATGGCTGTGATCCCAATACTCAGGAGGTAGAGGCAAGAGGCCCAAGAGTTTGAAAACAGGAAGTGGTGGTGTGACTCAAGTGGTAGAGCACTACCTTGAGCACAAAGAAGCTCAGGGATAATGCCCAGAACCAGCAAAGAAAAAAAAGGAAGCTAGCCTATCTCAAACGAGTCTAGGGGAATATAAATCTTTTTTGCTGTTGTTGGTCACAAGGCTTGAACTGAAGGCTGGGGGGTGTCCCTGAGCTCTTTTCGCTCAAGGTTAGCACTTGACCGCTTTGAGCCATATCTCCACTTCCGGTTTTCTGATGGTTAATTGGAGAGAAAAGTCTCACATTTTTCCTGCTCCAGCTGGCTTTGAACTTTGATCCTCACATCTCAGCCTCCTTAGTAGCTAAGATTACAAGCATGAGCCACCAGCACCCAGTGGGAATCTATATCTTAACAACATGTAAATTTATTTCAGTGAGCTAGAGAAGTAAATTCGCAAGGCTATCAGTTTTTATGTACAGAATGGAGTAATAGCAGCAGTGTTAAACTGAGTAATTCCTATAAAACTACTTCTCACCCAGGGATGATTTTGCCTTCCGATGGGAATTCAAGCAGTTTCTGGAGATGTTACTTTGTCACAAATGGGGAATGCTACTGGAATCTAACAGATAAAAGTCAGTGGTGCAGCCAAATGTTCTGAAGTGCGCAGGCAGCCACCCATAACAGGGAAACGTCAGTAGTACTGAGATTGCTCCTCACCATTGGGTTCACTTGATTTTGATCCTTATAGGTAAGGGAGTAATGTGATTTAGAATGAATTTCACTGCCTTACTTTTTTTTGTTGTTGTTGGTCGTGGGGGTTGAACTCTGGGCCTGGACGCTGTCCTTCAGCTTTTCAGCTCAAGGTTAGCACCCTACCACTTGAGCCACAGCACCACTTCTGGCTTTTTTCTGCTTATGTGGTGCTGAGGAATCGAACCCAGGGCCTCATGCATGCGAGGCAAGCATTCTACCACTGAGCCAATTTCCCAGCCCGAGCCTTGCTTACTTTTAATTAGCCTACTACAATTTACTAAAGGAATAGACATACTCTATAAAAATGAAAAAATTTAAATGCAATATATTGCTTGTTCTAGGTAATGTTTTTTTGCCTAATGCAGGAAGATAATTTGCCAATACTTTTTCTTAGGGATCTGAGTCCATGATCTAGTAAACTACACCTTTAACCCTTGGAAATAAAAATGGAGATGGTGTTAATTTTAGCAAACAGGAAAGGGTTCTGACTTGAAGGTGTTGAAGATTAAACATAAAATTCATAGAACAGTGTCTGGCATCTGTAAATGTGTCATGGTTTTCTAGGGGTAGTTTTACCTAGTAGCAGTTAAACACAGTAAGTGGCTGCTTGCCTGTTAATCCTAGAAGTTCTGACATAGGTTTGCCCAACATTTGGTCTCCTGCTTGGAAATTGTGCCATGTCTTCCATGTACCCCTCAATTGTGTTTGTGACCTGAGGGCTGGGAACAGAGGGATTAGGGGAGGAGAATCTTTTTACTTCATCCAGCAACTTCAGGTTGACCCTTTTGATACAGCACATTGGAGAGAAAGCCCTCTCCCATTCTGAAGGAGTGAATAAGTAGGCCCAATGAAAAGATAAATAAAAATATGTATTGGAGCTTGCCTTGCATGCATGAGGCCCTGGGGTCAATTCCTCAGCACCACATAAGCAGAAAAAGCCGGAAGTGGCGCTATGGCTCAAGTGGTAGAGTGCTAGCCTTGAGCTGAAGAGCTGAGGGACAGCGCCCAGGCCCAGAGTTCAGGCCCCACAACTGCCCAAAACAACAACCCCCCCCCCCCCCCCACACACACACACTGGAGCTTTGGATGAACAGGTCTTAGCACACTGCCTTTAGATTACCTGCTTGGGTGGGTGCTAGTGGTGATTATAGTATAATACACAAGTATTTGCTCTAGATAGAGTTTAGAACTATTTAAGAATAGAGTATTGTCAACCTTAAGGATCCACTGTCATCTATGAAGTAGGTGGTATTTTGTTTTACAGATGAAAAGAGAGGCTCTAAAAGCTTGAGAAATGTGTGTTGCATATAGATCATGAACCGAAAAGAGTGAGTTTTCAGTAGCACTTTCTATGTTATCTAGCATGAATAAATGGAGACATTTTGTTTTGCTTTTAAGTTTGGATGCAGGTTGTTCTTTTGGATACAAAAGAACTTACTGGGGCTGGGAAGGTGGCTCAGTGGTAGAGCGCTTGCCTTGCATGCATGAGGCCCTGAGTTCAATTCCTCAGCACCACATAAGCAAAAAGAAAAAAAGCCAGAAGTGGCACTGTGGCTTAAGTGGTAGAGCGCTAGCCTTGAGCTGAAGAGCTGAGGGACAGCGCCCAGGCCCAGAGTTCAGGCCCCATGACCGGACCCCCCCCCCCCCCAAAAAAAAAAAAAAACACTTGCTTTAGGGGCTGGGAAGGTGGCTCAGTGGTAGAGCGCTTGCCTTGCATGCTCGAGGCCCTGGGTTCGATTTCTCAGCACCACATAAGCAAAAAGAAAAAAGCCGGAAGTGGTGCTGTGGCTCAAGTGGTAGAGCGCTAGCCTTGAGCTGAAGAGCTGAGGGACAGTGCCCAGGCTCAGAGTTCAGGGCCCACGACCGGACCCCCAAAAAAAAAAAAAAAAAGAACTTACTGGAAGTAATACCTTGTCTTCCTGAACATGACACAATTACATTCTAAAGACAGAGTCAATTACCTTTCTGTTTAAAGCTTCCCAAGTAATTCTGAAACAGGTTTGGACACTGAACAGAGTGGCCATTTGATTTCCTACAATTTGATCAGTCAGTTTTTACTTACTACTTGAGTCTTTACAAAAAGAAATCAAGAAACTAAGGAAAAAGTCTTATCAAATCTTGAGGAATAAGCTTCTGCTTATTTTGTTGTCTAGTACTGGGGTTTGAACTCAGGACCTTGTACTTGCTATGCTGGTGCTCTACCACTTGAGCTATGCCTCCAGCTCTGCTCTTTGCTGTTATTTTGGAGATGGAGTCTAGTGAACTTTTCTAGGTAGAGTTGGGTTGGCTTCGAACCACCATCCTCCTGATCTCAGCTTCTGAATAGGATTACAGGCATGAGCTACTGGCACCTGATACTTTTATTAATCTGGGTTTACATTAAGTGAAATTTCCTAACTTCACAATTATTCTAACCTTGCAAAGATAAGACCTTGATTTGGAGGCTAGGAAAATTCTTACAAAAATACAAAAGGAAGTTCAGAGATGCTCTTCACTGCCAATGAGTGCAATGCATAGAACTAACCCACTAAACTCAAGCGGCACCACTACTAGACACTTAGGCATGCAAAGTGCCAGTGTGCAAATAGATTAAACACAACCCTTTTCACAAGTTCCATCTTTTGGGATTGCCACAAAAAAGACTCACTGTAGTACCACCAGAGTAGACATGGTAAATAGAAGAGCAGGAAGGGACAGGGAAGTTCAGATAGAAGGGAATGGCTTTTCAGAGGCAAGGAAAGAGTCCTGTTTTTGCTTCTACAT